AAAAAAAAAAAAAAAAAAAAAAAAAAAAAGGATATAGACAAGCTCTAGGAACAAAGATTAGCTCCCAGCTGACTGCCAGCAAGGGAATGGGGACCTCTGTTCTACAGCTGCAAGGCACCGAACTTGTCTAACAACCTGAATGAACATGGAAGTGGATTAATCCCAAGTCTCCAGAAGGGAACATAAGCCTTGCTTTATGAGATTCTAAGCAGAGGGCCCCATTGAGCCACACTGTTCCCAGACTTTTGACTTTGAGAACAATAAATAAGACAAGAAATGTGTGAGACAATAAATGTGTGTTGTTTTAAGTAAATAAATTTGTAGTGATTTGAAACAATGACAATGAAAAACTAATTTGTGCAACAACTGGGATGGATCCCAAGAGAAATACGCTAAGCGAATAAAGCCAGTCTTGAAAGGTTAAAAAAAAAAAAAAAAGTATTCACATATTCAGCCGCTACAAATTTCTAATTGCTTATTAAATGCCATAATTTGTTTGTATGTTGTTTGAATCAAGATTCAATTTAGGTTTACGCTTTATGATTGTCTTTTAAATCTCTTTTTAACTTATAAGTTTTCTCTGAGATAATGTATTTATGGGAGAATTTGGAATGTTTTCCTTCATGTACAAATTTTGCAGATTACATCCCCATTATATAATTTAACATGTTCCTTTGAACTCTGTGTTTTCTGAAAATTAATAGATAAAGCTAGGCTTGAGCAGAATTAGTTTTGATTTTTTTGACCTTTTTTTCCAACCTCACAGACAGTATTTTATTCACTTATCAAGATGCCCCGAGTATCTGATTATTTCACTTTTGTAAAGTTAGGAACCATTGGTGTGCAAGGCTTCAATCTATTATTTCATTATGAGCTGCAAAATGGTAATTTTGGAGTTCAGCTTCTATGTGGAATATAAAAAGCTGCAATAAAATGTTGCTTTCACCGTAACAAGGAGAAAGGAGAAATATTACAACACTATAGCCCTTCCTGCACTCATTAGTGATCTAAGGTTGCAAGGCAACCAAGTAGAATGGATTGATTCTGAAAATATTCTATAGGATTTAACCATAAGTAAAAATTGATCAAGCTTTGCCATTAACATTTGTGCATTTTATGGTATATAAATTATATCTTAATAAAAGAGAATTCCATAGCAAATCTTTTTATATATAATTAGTTTATATAACAAAATGTCATATATATATTGTTAGTATACAGTAAGATATTTGGAAATAAACTGAGATATACATATATATATACACACATGTATATATGTATCCTACATAGAAAAAACTTTGAAATACTGAAACACACATAAGGAGACTTGAAAATGACAATTAAAATAAATACAACCTGTTCTTGGATAAGAGAACTCAACCTCAAAAAGCTGACAATACTCCCTATGTTAATGAACACATTTGATGAGATTCCAACTTTAAAAAAAAAAACGAAGTTGATTCTAAAATTCATATGAGAAAATAACAAAGGCATAGTTCAGAAAAATCAGAAAAATAAGAGCAATAATGAGGAACTAATCCTATGAGATACTAAAACATATTATAAAGTTCTAACAATTAAAATAATGTGATATGTGAATACACAGAGAGAGCAAAGAAACAGACTAGAAATTCTTTAAAACCCCATAAAACATGTGGGAATTTAATGTAGGATAAAAGCACCCTTTCAAATGAGTGTGTTATAGATGAACTTTTTCTTTTTGAGATGGAGTCTCGCACTGTCACCTGTGCTGGAGTGCAATAGTGGGTTCTCGGCTCACTGTAACCTTCGCCTCCCTGGTTCAAGTGATTCTCCTGCTGGGATTACAGGTGCCTGCCACCATGCCTGTCTAATTTTTTGTATTTTTAGTAAAGACAGGGTTTCACTGTGTTGGCCAGGCTGGTCTCAAACTCCTGACCTCATGATCCACCCGACTTGGCCTCCCAAAGTGCTGGGATTACAGGTGGGAGCCACCACACCAGCTGAGGTGAACTATTAAATAAAAGCTTGTGAGATTAAGTTGTATTTCTGTTTCAGTCTAGTGTGGAATTATATTCTTTTTCTTAATTATCTACTGTTGTCCCTGTAAGGGAACTATGTATTTCCGCACATTGCCACGTGGCTTGTGTGCCTGCCTGTGGGAAAAGTCACAGCATCCCACCTTCAACCTTACTAGTAAAGCATTAAAGCCAGGCTTGGTCATCTGACTTGCTTTAGACAATAGAATATAAGTGAAACTGACATACAACTCATTTGAGGAGAAGCATTGAGCCATTGCTTGATTCAGTTATTTCTTCTTTCCCTCTTGCAGGAGAATGGCACATTCTCATAAATAATACTTTGAGGTAGAATTGAAACCGACCCAATAGTCCCATAGACTGTCGTTTTGGATAAACATAGAAATTGACCTGTCTGGTCTTAAAATTTGAAACTTACATTTGTCTTATTTGACTTCCTTTTTCAAGAAAGGTCTTTTAGGTCACTTAAAAAAAAGCATAAAAGAACTGAAACTCACCAGATTACCATATCCAGACAAAGAGACATTGGATCCCTCATTCATCAAGATTGCTTCCTTGCCCTTCCCTAGTTCCTGTTTTCTCACAGATTGTTACATTTCTTCCTTGCTATATAACCCCCTGGATTTAGCTGGGCAGGGAGATGGATTTGGAAGTGAACTCCCATCACCTCAGCTGCAGCACCCAATTAAAGCCTTGTTCCTTGGCAATACTTGTCTCAGTGATTGGCTCTCTGTGCAGCAAGCAGCAGGACCTAGACTGGACCCATGGCATTTCAGTAATGGAATCTGTTGTTATTTTCATCTCAACGAGGAAGCTGAAGCAGTGAGGTTAAACAACTGCCCTACAATGAACACAAACTCAAAAGAAGACATCCATGAGGCCAACAAACATAAGAAAAACAGCTCAACATCACTGATCATTAGAGAAATACAAATCAAAATGACAATGAGATACCATCATGCTAGTCAGAATGGTGATTATTAAAAAGTCAAGAAACAACAGATGCTGGTGAAGTTGCAGAGAAAAAGGATTGCTTTTACTCTGTTATGGGAGTGTAAATTAGTTAAATCATTGTGGAAGATAGTGTGACAATTCCTCAAAGATTTAGAGGCAGAAATACCATTTGACACAGCAATCCCATTACTGGGTATATTCACAATAGTGTATAAATCAGTCTGTTATAAAGATGTAAGCATACATGCACATGTATGTTCATTGCCGCACCATTCACAATAGCAAAGACATGGAATCAAACAAAATGTTTATCAATGATAGACTGTATAAAGAAAACACAGTACATATACACCATGGAATATTATGCAGCCATAAAAAGGAATAAAAGCATATCCTTTGCAGGGACATGTATGGAATTGGAAGCCAGTATCCTCAGCAGACTAACGCAGGAAGAGAAAACCAAATGTCGCATGTTCTCACTTATAAGTGGGAGCTGAACGATGAGAACACATGGACACATGATGGGGAATAACACACAGTGCCGCCTGTAAGGGAGTGTGGGGTGAGGGAGAGCATCAGGAAGAACAGCTAATGAATCCTGGGCTTAATACTTAGGTGATGGGTTGATCTGTGCAGCAAACCATTATGCTCACGTTTACCTATGTAACAAACTTGCATATTCTACACATGTACCCTGGAATTTAAAAGAAACATTGAAGAAAAAAAAAAAAAAGAAACCCTCACAGGGGGAAAGGATAGTAGGAAAAAAAAAGCTACCCTAGTGACTTAGTTGGTGAGGCAGGGGTGGAGTCAGGATTCAAACCTAGGCAGTTAGGCTCTAGGGTCTGGAATTTAACCACTGTACAATGCTACCTCTTTCCAACATATTCTACATTTACTCCAATCATTTTAGCTTCCTGTCAAATCAATTTTTGATGCTTTTGTTTAGGATATTCTTTCTCATGAAATCTTTATGCCTTCCTAATTATTAATCAATATTACATACTTTTGCCTTTAGCTCCTAAATGAAAGCTTCCTAGACCAAAGAGCACATTTTTTTCTAATGTCTCTTAGAACTTCACTTATTTAAAATTATCCTTGATTTGACTTTATATGCACATTTGGAATACAAGCAGATGTGTTGCACAACTGTATTCTTTATATTATTTGAAACAACATAACTCATCGCGTGAACATGTTATTAATGTCTGATGAATGAATGATGCAACAAATAATAGTTTGGCCAGAAATACATATTTATTCAGCAAGCCTTTTTAGTGTCTATTTTATAGAGACAAACAACTCCATTCCTTCTAAGAAAATGTGTAGGACGGAGAATCCAGCAAAATATACAGCCTGTGTGGTCCTCAAACATTTTCATGCTCTGTATCTATGGAGAGAAGAAAAACATGAGGTTGTAGGGTCTCCTGAGGAGCATTCAGTTAAATGTGGGCAGCAGAGTGAGCTACTGCGGGGACAGCAAACTTTATCCGTGAAAGGCCAGAGGGTAAATATTTTAGGTTTATATGCTACATGAGCTGTCATGACTAATCAGCTCACAAAGGTAGCCACAGACAATAAGAAGTGGAGAACGGGTTAATGGGGTCTAGTACTGTTCATAAGCTGTGATCTCTTACCTGTGCTGCAGGGGGCGATGTACTCAGCAACCGCAGACTCATCTGAAAGAAAGGTGGGGTGAAGGAAGAAACAAAAGATCTATGAACTAGGGAACGTGGTAAGTTTATCTAGTCACTTTACTACTGGAGAGAAGCACACCTGTCCGAATTGTCAAAACTCCATGTAAATAGACCAGAATGAAACAGAATCATTAACATATTTATATTCTCATTCCCTGAGAATGGAGATAGGGATTGAAGCCTGCTCAGAGAGCAACTGTTCAAATTTTAAATACTTGAGGAATTTGACCTAGAACTAGAAATACCATTTGACCCAGCAATCCCATTACTGAGTATATACACAAAAGGATATAAATCATTCTATTATAAAGATATAAAGTTACATGCACATGTACATTCATTACAGCACTTTTGGGTATTTATAATACTTGAAGGATTACACATCATTCAACTATAAAGACACATGCTCACGTATGTTTATTGCGGCACTGTTCACAATTTCAAAGACATGGAACCAGCGCAAATGCCCATCAATGATAGACTGGATAAAGAAAATGTGGCACATATACACCATGGAATACTATGCAGTCATAAAAAAGGATGAGTTCATGTCCTTTGCAGGGACATGGTTGAAGCTGGAAACTATAATTCTCAGCAAACTGACACAAGAACGGAAAACCAAACACATGTTCTCACTCTTAGTGGGAGCTGAACAATGAGAACACATGCACACAGGGAGGGGAACATCACACACCAGGGCCTGTCTGTGGGTTTGAGGGCTAGGAGAAATGCCTAATGTAGATGACGGGTTGATGGGTGCAGCAAACCACCATGGCCTGCGTATACCTATGTAACAAACCTGCGTGTTCTGCACATGTACTGAGAACTTAAAGTATAATTAAAAAAAAGAAAGAGGCCGGGAGCAGTGGCTCACACCTGTAACCCTAGCACTTTGGGAGGCCGAGGTGGATGGATCACGAGGTCAAGAGATCAAGACCATCCTGGCCAACATGGTGAAACCCTGTCTCTACTAAAAACACACAAAAAATTAGCTGGGCGTGGTGGCGCGTGCCTGTAGTCCCAGCAACTCGGGAGGCTGAGGCAGGAGAATTGCTTGAACATGGGAGGGAGAGGTTGCAGTGAGCCGAGGTCACGCCACTGTACTCCAGCCTGGTGCCTGGTGACGGAGTGAGACTCTGTCTCAAAAAAAAAAAAAAAAAAAAAAAAAAAAAAAAAAA